CTTTGCTCCTAGTAGTAAGGCCAGGAGGCTCTAGTAGCTTCTTGTTAAGAGTAGGGATGCCAGGAGCCCCTAGTAGCGTCCTTGTAGGACTCTCTCGCAGCTTCCAGAGTCGGACTATGTTTGTGACTTGGAACTACCGTGGGTTTGGCGCGCTTGTAGGAACAAGTCCATCGCTAGTAGCTTCTTGTTACTACTAGTAAGGCAATGCAAAGGCCAATGGACGAAGGAGAAGCCCAAAGCGATATGGCTTGTGAGTCCTCCTTTGCCTCTCCATTCGGTGCAAAGGAATGTAGCTCATGACGTATTACTTGTTTGGTGGTCGCTTGCCATCGTACGAAAAGGGTTGTGGATCAAGCCTTCACTGTCCTGTGAAGTACATGTTTATCACAATCCATTCCTGGTCCTAGCTGTGTTTTCCAGTGTGTTTTTCTTCCACTTCCTCTTTCTCAGCCAAGGTGAGGAGACATGTCGTTTTCTCTACAAAGGTGAGCAAAAAGATCCGCTGAACTACAAAACGCTCAAGGTCTATCGCTCTGGTGGGGTTGAGGTCAAGGATGACACAGCCCTTTGTGCAGCTCGGCTTCAACTTTTGTAGCTCTTGATGTTCTTGGTCGATGTCGATGTAGAGCGGTTTCTGCTGCAACTGGATGCTCAGTGACTCCATGATATGGAAAAATCCCACCAGATAGAAAAAACATGTGAAACATAACTTGGAAACATAGAGGGACATCTTGGTCACAAAGACATCGAAATCGCCTTCCTCCCCGGACGGATGTGACATCGTGGTGGGGGTACCCTGCCGGATGTGACCAGTCCGGGGGACCAGTCGTGCTTCGTCGTTCAGGTCAGCAAGAACAAGATGCAGAAGCCGAAACCCAGGAGCTTGTTCCTAATAGCTTCTTGTTACTACTAGTAACAGGTGCCACGCTAGTAGTAACAGGTGCCTTACTAGTAGTAACAAAAAGCTATTTGAATTAAAATTAAAGTAAATTTAATAGTTTCTTGTTACTAGTAGTAAGGCACTTGTTACTACTAGCGTGGCACTT